ATGTCAGGGAAAAAATCATGCGCCACAGGATTCAGGAAAAAAAATTCATTCCACCGCCACATCAGCGGTGGGTAAAGGCAGGAGAACACTCCTGTATTTCTAGACGCTTCAAAGTCATTTTCTGATACCATTTACACTCTGTTTGAGCAACATTATTCTCCCAATAATCCATTTTAAATAATGTTTTAATGGAAAATATGTGGTAAAAAAATAAGAAAAAGTTTTGAATTTGCGTGTAATATTATTTTATTGAAAAATGTGTGATTGAAAATAAGAGAGAAAAATATATTTTAGAAAAATGAGTATCAAGCATGCCGTTATTCTACATCATAAAGTTGTTGAATCGGTCCAAAATAGTTCGTCAAAACAGGCCAACAATTTCAAGGCAAAAAAAGAGGAGAATTTTAGGTTCTAGAAATTATTATTAAAAAAAAAAAAAACTTTTGAAAACGACGGAGCAACTGGGCCCCGCTGTCGTTCTCAGTAGGCAGATAAATCCGCTGGTTTTAAGACAATCTTAATAATAATTTTTCCCTTTTAATGTTTGGACATATTAAGATCCCTTAAGCAAATCACGCAACAACATATGATATCATAGTGATACAAACATGACAACAAATTAATATATAATCAGACAGAGAATACAACTCAAAAATGTCTAAATTTCTGATATGTAGATGGTCTAATTTACTGACCTCAAATTTTACACTTGGTCTGGTTTTTCCCATGGAATACAAGAAAAGTTGCTGGTCATCCGACCTCATCTAATCAGAGTAATTCTAGATTTTGATTTTTCGACTACCGGCTCAGGTAAATGAACCTTTTCTTGATCATGCTTTGAAGTTTTTTGATATCGAAAGGAATCAGAAGAATGTATACTAATATGTAAACATGATAGGTACTAAAAGATTTTGGTAGGTGGCAGCAGGCTATTTCTCCAGTGTTTAGTTTGTAAAGAATGAGCAATTGCAGTAGCTCGGATGTGGGTCGAGATCGAGAGAGTTTTCCGTTAAGCTCCTTCGACTACAACTCCTCCCTCGGGCCTTGTGATTATGACGATGATGGACAAAATGATGTTGATGCATATATCGAAATAGAGCTTGAACCAGCAAAAACACTGACCCCTGGGACTCGGGAGAACAAAGGAGAGGCCAATGAGGATGAGGTTGAGGACGAGGAAGCGGAATTTCGAATATCATTTTCTACAGTATGTAGAAAATCTTCTTCTGCCAATGTGTTTTCTTTCCCAGCAACTTATTCTGGTGATGCCAGTGATTCAGCAGCAGGATCCAAGACTGTCACTATTTTCCCACCAACCTGGAAGAGACTGGAGCCACCAGCTGATGAAGATTTTCAATCAAATGAATATGAACAAACTGCAACAATCAACCAGGAGTTGCTACAGAGCAGGTGAGTTCACTTGCTTGTTTTCGTCTCCATGCCAACGACTATGTTAAACCACCTCGTCTAAAGTTAATTCTCAACTTAGAACCTCCGATTAGGGGACCCCCTATTTTCCATTGGGGGATTGATTTGTGCTTAACCAGTATGTTAAAGCGATGAACTAGAAGAGGTTAATGTGTTGGAGGGAAAACTTGTTTTTGTCCCATATAGGAAGTTTACAGAGGCAAAGACCACTTTATGCCTTTAGCATACCAAGATTCAATATTTTTAAGTTTTTTAGAGGAAGCTAGTCTATAGACCATTGAAACAGAAATATGAAATTCGGGTTACATTGTCAATTTCTCTGATGATTTTCTTAGGCCAATCGAAATATATATGCTATTTCGAAAATGCTTGGCTTTGTAATCTTTTCTTATGAATCCATACAGGAAAGCACCAAAAGCCACGGGTGCTATGAAAATGCTGGTGAAGTTCAGGTCTATAAGCTTCCGATCAATGCTCACTTCGTTACTGAAACTTGGCAAATTTACTCCGTCAACAGTCAAAACTCAACAGGTATACGTAATATCTGAAGTGAGACCAGAAAATCGCCGCAGTTCATTGAATCCTTTTGACAAATTGTTTCGACAAAAGGCCCGCAGAGGGAGAAGAACCGGGGAAAGTTCGAAACCGTTAGAAATAAACTTGGAGGGAATTAGAAAACTATTTGATACCGGTGCCATCAAAACTGCAAACCACACGAGACAGGCAAAAAGTTGCCCGAATTCTATAAAGTCATCACCAATTAATGAAAACAGGTTTTATTCAAGGGAGAATTCAGTTCAAGCAGCCATTGCTCATTGTAAGAAATCTTTTGGACATACAGATGATTTTTGTTTTTGAAGTTTTGGTCGGCAGAAATCTTCTTCTGAATATACAACTGAATAAGAAAAAGAAGAAGAAATTACAGTGCAGATGGAGGTCAGGTCAAGCCTCTTTTTAAGTCTGCAGCTCAGTGCAACCGTAGCCTCGATGGAAGGAATACTAGTTCGGTAGTTCCTCCTCTTTCCACTTCCTCAGCCTGAGTCTCAACACGGTTTGCCTACATCGAATCTTTAATATCTTCGGCATAAACAATGATGGCACAATCACCCTCGACGAGCTCAGCCAGGCTGTCGGCCACCTTGGTCTTAACTCCAATAGAGCTGAACTAGAATCGATGATCCAATCGGATGTTCAACCTGGAAATGCTGACCTTACATACAAATATTTTGTTGAACAACATGTTCTCCATCATTTCAATTTTCATGTTTTTTCTGTTTTTGTCCCTTTTCTAGATCATGTCTTCTTGTCATCTAAAGCATTTCTGGTTTGTTTGGGAACGTGAATTATACCATATTGAACAAATCCCGGTTTTTGTACTGTCTAATGTATTTTGAAAGTTAGTGTCTTGTGGTTATTGCATCTAACATTGTAGAAATTTTTGTTGAGGTTCAAAAGGCACTCTTGTATTCTAGTACAAGTAATGAGACAGCCGGAGGAAAATCTAAGCTATGCGTATAGTGAGAAGGAGAAATGGCGTTGTCTATCCCATTCCTTCTTTGAAGATGTTTCACCTTCGGTATTGCATACGCAGCTGAGCTGGCCTAACCTAACTCTTATCCATATCTATACTAACCTTNATTCTATATTGGTTCTTCTCCACATTCTTACCAAGCGATTTGGCATTCTTGGGAGAATAATGTGGCTCAAACGGGGTGTAAATTTTAATTTTCACCCAACAAGGGCATAGACTTTAAGATAAGGAGATAAAGTGAATAAAAATAATAAATAGTAGGGTTATAATCTTTAATGAGCTGGAAGTGTCATGTCTAAACAAAATTAGTAACTAAATTAGTAAATAAAAATATTAGAATCTGAACCGGTACGTACAAATTGAAATGAACAATGCTATACATCCAGGGTTAAATCCAGGGAATTCACTATTCAAGGTTTTATTTACTTTTTTGCTCTTACTTTCTTTATTTGCAAAATTGTCCTGTATTTTTAGTTGTTAGGTTTTTCAGGGTTATATCTGACAATTCTTCCGTTTGGATTGTAGGTTCTTAGAACTAATCTTGGGAATCTTAGTTCAGTATTTTCTTGTAACCAAATCAAGTATTGTTGTTGCTTGTATTGGTGATAGCTTATAATCTTTAAGATTTTATCCCACTTTTCTGTATTATTTTCTCTTCTAAATTCTTCAAGGAGTCTCCTAATTTCTCTAGATCTTAATTCACTGGTATTATCTTGAATCTTTCTAAGCCCCTGTTTGACAGCCATTTTGGAGAAAAAATAAATTCTGGAATAGTGATTGATGGAAGAATATGTGGTTAAAAAGTAATGAGAATTTTTGAGTTTATGTGTAGTATTGTTTTATTGATAGAATGTGTGGTTGAAATGAAAAAAGAAAAAAAATGAAAATGAGAAGAAAATGAGTGTCAAACATGGGCTAAATCTTTCAATATTTTCTCTTTCCTCTTGGTTCATTAATTAATCAGAATTACTATTTATACGATATTCATTTAACCTGTCAATTTGTTCTAAATATTCTCTATATTTTGTTAATTTTTCAAAAGCTGTAGGTTGATTTTCTTTAGTTATATATTCAAGATCAATTCCTTCTGAAACTTCTTCTTCTATACTTTCGTATTTAGTTATAATATCTTCGATCTTTTTTATTTTCACAAGTTTTTACATAATCAAATCATATATTATGTTTACAAGCATAATCTATAACAAAATATATTTCTTTAAGTTTTTCTCTGCCAACAGGGAGTATATCTTCAGATTTTTCAACTATACTTAGTAAAAACGAAATATCTTTTTCATTTAAGTGTAATTTAAGACAATAATCATTGGATGTGGATGCTTGTGAAGTGTTCATAAAGATCAATAGGGATTTAAAGCATAATCATATAAAATAATGTAAATTACTTACAGTAATTAATGGAAATAACTAGGTTTTCCCTCAAGCATGTTCTTATAGTTACTTTGCATGTACTTAATCAATCTTCTGAATCAGATGAATATTTAAAATGTATTGAAATCATTTGGGTCCACAACTGTTTCCGCAAAAGGTTTTTCAATTAAGGTTGCAATTCTCACTCTAGAGAACTAATCGTGTTACCACAGACGCTATCTCACAGTATTCAGAGTTTATGTTTTCACCTCTATTCAAACTCTTTTCAGAATCAAGTTTTTACTTAGAACGAAATTTTAAAAGATAACTCACGCACAAGGTGCTACAATTTTTGTTAGAAAATTGGCATTTTCCCTTAAACATTCATCAAAAGACGAATACTTTGGTATGGCTAACATTCATTCAAAACAATGTTTCAAAAAATTTTAAAATCTCTATCTGTACTGCCGAAGAATTATGACAAACTTAACGAAATCCTTTTGTGAAGACTTTGTTGAACATAACAAACTTCATCTTAATATTCCTAAACTGAAATAGTACATGTTTGCTTACTATNACAATGTTTCAAAAAATTTTAAAATCTCTATCTGTACTGCCGAAGAATTATGACAAACTTAACGAAATCCTTTTGTGAAGACTTTGTTGAACATAACAAACTTCATCTTAATATTCATAAACTGAAATAGTACATGCTTGCTTACTATATTTACATACCTTTGGTACTCACCTTATGAAGTTTAAAATTTCATAAGTGATTACCTTATTACAAGCTTTGCAAAAGGGTGGACTCCACCTTCAAAAAATGTTGATGGTGTAGTTACACTCACTGACATTTCTTTATGGACTAAAACTAAGTTGGATGAGTGTAGTTGAAATAGCAAAGGTTTACATGCTTTGTTTATGGCTGTGTCTCCTGAAATATTTAAGAGAGTGTCTATGTGTGAGACTGTTAAAGAAGTTTGAGATATTTTGGAAACTACCCATGAGGGTACTAAGACCGTGAAAAACTCCAAATTACAAATGTTGACTTCTAGGTTTGAAGAACTTAGGATGAATGATGATGAGAGATTTGATGAGTTCTATGCTAAAATGAACGATATTGTGAACTCTAGTTTCAATTTAGGCGAACAGATCACCGAGTCAAAATTGTTTGTAAGGTTCTTAGATCCCTACCTGAGAGGTTTAGACCTAAGGTAACTGCAATTGGAGAAAGTAAGGATCTTGACTCCCTTAAGATAGAAGAACTCGTAGGATCCCCCCAACCTATGAATTGACTTTAGCACATCCTAAGAAATTGAAATCCATAGCCATGAACATTCTTAGGGAAAATGAGAGTGAGTCAACTGACATTGAGACTCTTAGGGACAATGAAATTGCATATTTTGTTAAAAAATTCCAGAAGGTGATGAGGAATAGGAAAAGGACTCAGGAATGAAATAGGGTTATCCCTAATCAACTCTTGAGAGACAGATATGAGAAGAACATCTCTAGGACTCCCGCTAGAAAATCTGGGTTTGTCCAATGCCATGAATGCAAGGGATTTGGTCACATTAGGAGTGAATGTTGTAATCTGAAGAAGAGCTCAGGAAGAGAAATGCGTAAGGTTTTAGCCGTGACCAAGGATGATGATGAGTCAGATTCCAGTTTTCTTGATGAGACATCTGGGGGTGAGGATGACCAAGGGTATATGGCATTCATCTCGATTGCTGAAATCGAATTTGACTGTGAGATTGAGATAAGGGAAATGAAGGTTGAGAGTGGACGATCTGGAGATTGGTTGAATTGTCATGTGGCTCACCTTGCTCTTAAAGCTCAGAACAATTCCATCCTTTTCAAGTAAATCATCTACATAAGCCAGTGGGATGTTTATATGGGGCTTTTTGAACACTTCAAGAAATTTTTTGTATTGTTGCTCCATCACTTGCTTCCTCAACCGTTGTGGGAATGGAATTGGTGGCTCATAGGGATTTACCGAAGTATCTGGCACTTGTGATTTTTCTGGACTTTCTCTTACCAATGTCTTCTTGGTGTTGTCAACCTACTTTTCATTCTCTTCTTCAGAGGGCTCCACTTGTTCTTTATTTGCACTCGGTCTCTTGACATGTATCTCAGGTAGCTGAACTCCACTTCGTGTAATGATGGCTTGACATTGTTCCCTAGAATTTATTTCTGTGTTGTTCGGTAATGCACCAGGTAGTCTGCTAGTCAAAGCCATAGCCATCTGTCCCATTTGAGCTTCCAAGTTCTTNAGAGAGAGCTAATTGTCCCATTTGAGTCTCCATATTCTTAATAGTCGCGCCCTGATTTTGAAAGTTTGTTTCAGTCTTTTTGATGAACTGATTCGTGGTTTCCATGAACATTGCAAACATATCTTCCAACTGAGGTTTCTTATCTTGCTGGAACTGTCCTTGAGCTCGGTTGTGATTTTGATTCTAATTTCCACCCCAAGAGAAATTTGGATAATTTCTCCATCTCGAATTGTATGTGTCAGAATGGGGGTTGTTTGGCTGACATTGACCCTATTGGACGTAATCTACATGTTCCTTTCCTTGTGTAGGATAAGACATTCAGCTGTACCATGTTCTGCTCCACACTCTTCTCAATTTGACTTCTTAACTTGTGTTGAATTCACCGTTTTCGTGATGCTCTCCATTTTGTGAAATGGGGAGTCAATCTTTGCAGATAAAGCTGAGTATGTATCTACCTTGTAGACTTCAGCAGTTTTCTTTGGACCTCCTCGATCGACGACCACATGGCTGAAGTATTAGCCATTCTCTCGAACAATTCCCAAGTTCCATCAATCATTCTGGCGGTTAGGGACCCATTTGACGACGAGTCCACCATACTTCAGAAAGCTGGAAGCAGTTCTGTATGAAAAAAAACCTGATTTGTGACGACTTGTCAAACCCATGTTGTGGACATTTTTGCATCATATTCTTGAATCCGTTCCATGCCTCATCAAATGATTCGGACTCATTCTGGCTGAATATTGATACTTCGTGCCTCAATCTTGTAACATTGGCTGGTGAGAATAACTTCGTGCAAAAATTATGAGCCAAATTGTTCTAAGTAGTGATGCTAGCCACAGGAAGTGAGTCCAACCACTCGAGTGCTTTTATCTCGCATGGTGTGTGGAAATAACCTCAACCTAATCGCATCTTCTGATATCCCTTGGTACCTGAAGTGTTGACACATATCTAAGACGTGGGATATATGTATATGCGGATTCTCATTGACTAGCCCGTAGAATTGATGCCCGTTTAGGAATAGTTGGATGACGTTAGTCTTCAGCTGAAAGTTTGGTTGTTCAAATGTGGGATAGACAATGCTGGATTGACTTTGAGCAATGAATGGTGACAAGAAGTCCCCTAGAAGAGCATTCCCATCATATTAAGCTTCTGCATTGGTTGGAGCTGTAGGATTTACTCTCGATTCCAAAATTAGATAAGCCATTTGCATTTGTTCTTGATCTTTCTACTGCGCTGCTCTTTCTTCCCTCTGTCTGAGATGAAAAGTTCGTTCAATTTCCAAATCAGCTTGACGTGCAAGCTCTGAATGTAAGAAAAACAGTAGCACTTAACTCAGCCCTAATAGAAAGACTAAGTAAAATGCAAATGTAAAATAAACATAAAGACAAGTTTGAATTAGTGTCTAAATAACAAAAATCAAATTAAAACTCAATCCCCGGCAACGGTGCCAAAAATTTGTTCACGAAAATTTGTTCGCTTTATAAATCACCGCAAGTATACGGTTTGTTAACCAGTAATAAAGTGAAAATTGTAAAATTTCGAGTATCGTCCCACGAGGATTGATTTGAATTGATTTCTTTTATCAAGACCTTATCCGAATCTATCAAACTCAAGATGGTTGGTTATTTGAATGTTGTGACTAAACTATGATTAAAACGCAACAAAAATGCAGTTTAAGCTAATGTGACTAAATAAATGCAAAACTATGTTTAATGCAAAAGTTTGATGAAATTAATGAATGAAAAGCGCACTAGGATCCCGAATCACCAATCAAATCTCACTTTTAACATCTACTTCACAATTCGATGACACTATGAATTGATTGAATAATCAATATTTCTAATTTATCTAAAAATCTTTTTCGAGTAGAATTGAACATATTCTCTTATACAATTCGACTATATTTCTATGACAAATACAATATATAAGAATGCATGACGTTTTGTAAATACTTAGAGATTCACGTAAAGTATATTGGTATATTTCTATCCCTATGAACCCTACGATGATTTATACCTTGTAGAATCTATTTCCTTTCTTTCGAATGCATAAAATAAACCACCTAAACTCACACAATTATCGTGCACTATAATCATGGAGACAAAAAGTGTATATAAATCATTCAATAACCATCAAACGTGTTTAAACGTCAAACTACAAAATAAAAATTATATAAGAATGCATGACGTTTTGTAAACACTTTAGATATTCACGTAAAGTATAGCGATATATTTTTATCCCCTATTGGACCCTAGGATGATTTATACCTTATAAAATTTATTTCCCTTCTTTCGAATACACAAAATAAATCACACAAACTCACATAATCACATGCATTTAACTATGGAGGCAAGAAAGTGAATATAAATCATTCAACATCCATAAGACATGATAAAATACCAAATTGCAAAATAGAAATTAAAAGATCATAATGCGAGGTTNACATTGTGAGGTTCATCTTTCACCTAGTAGATAAAAAGTCTAGTCTAGCATAGATAAAATAAAATAACAATAAAAATGTTTAGGAAAAGATATCACCCAAAACTTGAATATGAATCTCGAACTCTTCAATCTTCGATATAGAAATCTCTTGGTTTTTGCCTTCTCTTTGCCTTTCAATGAGTTTTTCTCTCTAAAGTGGCGTAACCTACATTCTGGATCTCTTTTCGGTTAAATACGCGGCCTCCGATCTTATTTCCATAGGTAGTTTAGTTAAAATAGAAAACCAGAATCTCGCAGAATTTTTCTTCTATGCGACCGCATAAAAGAAACGGTTTGGGCACTAAAATTCCCTGCATCACCTTATGCGACCGCATAGATTCCAACACTGCGCAATCGCATAGTGTTAAGGAATTTCCTCATCCTTGCGTTTTGGTCCTCAAACTTCCTTTTGTTTGTTTTTTGACCTCTTTTCTCACTTCTTCTTCCAATGTGTAATTCACATGCTCAATTCAATCTCACCATCTTCACTTCTTCAATTTCTCTATCGGCCCATCTTCTGACTATTTTCATCTTAATCCTTGAACTTTGATTTTCGTTCGTTTTAGCCCTTTTTCTCTTTTTTCTTCTAATTTCCATCGTAATTATCAATATTGTCCTGCAAACACATATTGAATCGAATTAACTATATTCCACATATTTATCGACAATTATCCATGTTTATAAATCAAAATAAGTGTGTAAAAACGCACTTATCAACCATATTCTTTGTCCCCACGCTGACATTTTGCAAGCTTTTGAGACCTCTTCTCATCCTCTGTTGTGAGGCTCTCTATATAGCACGAACAAATTTATTTATTTTATTTTACTTTTATGCCAAATTTATTTGTCATCAATAGTTGGGCACATGCACAACTTTATAAATTGCCGCCAAAAAAAGTCCAAAATTTCACCTTTTGATTATTTAGCCCTAGGGATTTTTTACAATTCAATTTTCCCTAATTTTTTTTTTTTTAATCACATTCTCCCGATAATATTTCACCATTTTGATTCTTTAGCCCTGGTTTGGTAGGGATTCATAATTTTTTCTCATTTTTTAACTACACATTCTCCAAAAATATTAATTTTCACATCATTTATTTTCAAAAAATTTACATCAAATAAACCCTTAGTTGAAACAAGCAAAGACACTCTGTTTTGGCCCATTGCCAAAATTCTCTTATGATTTTATTTGAAATATACATATTATTCGAAAATGCTCGGCTTTGTAACCTTTTGTTACGAATCCATACAGGAAAGAACCAAAGACCAAAGGTGAGGTTATGAAAATACTGGTGAAGTTCAGGTCTATTAGCTTCTGATCAATGCTGGCGTCATTGCTGAAACTCGGCAAGTTTACTCCGGTGAACACTCGACAGATTTATGGAGTATCCGACGTGCCGGCAGAAAATCCCCGAAGTTCATTGAACAAATTGTTTTCCCAAAAGGCCAACAGAAATGGGGAAAGATCAAAACTGTTAGAAATAAAATTGGAGGGAATGAGGAAACAGTTTGGTGCTGCTGTTGGCATGAAAACTGCAAACCAAACAAAAAGTTGCCCAAATTCATCACCAACTAATGAAAACATGTTTAATGCTAGGGAGAATTCAGTTCAAGCAGCCATTGCTCACTGCAAGAAATCTTTTGGACAAACAGATGATTTTTTCTTTCGAGTATTTTGTGGCTTGAAATGAACAAATTTTATTAAAAAAAAAAGCGACTTTTAAGAGGACCAAAATTGATTCTGTAATTGGGTTAACAAAATCTTGATTTTAAAACAGTTCTTAGTATTCGGTTATATCAACGATCAACGAGTGTTTGATCGATTGATCCCAAGATTCTTAGGAACCAAGAGGCTTTGATTTTGTGTTCGTCTCATATTTCACAATTTGACTTATGTGAGTTGTTAAGGATTTATCTATGAGAATAAACAAAATATTAGGCATGTTTGATGGACAGTAACAACTTCTTTTCCATAATGTAATCGAAAAATAAATATGAAATATCTATATATCATTACCAAGGATCCAAATCATTAGGTCACTTTCACTAGAGCTAAATGATGGCAACCCCGGCCTTAATAGAAATTTTCCCCACCATCCCCGCCTAGGACGGGATGGGGACTTGGATCTCCATCACCCTGTTTAGTTTTTTTTTTCCATCAATTATAATTTTTATAACAGAAAATGGGACAAGCCTGATTGATATCAGAGAATATTATTTTATGTACAATAACGAAATTCGAAAAAAAAGAAAAAAAAAAGGATAGTGGTTGATGCATTGCACAAGCTACAATTTAAAATAAAAAGTAAAATTTTTGAGTTAAATTGAATTTTTTTATGAACCGTGCTTCAGTGCCAGCCCTCCCTGATAGGACACATACATTGGGGGGAGGAGGGCTTTTTTTTCCATTTTTTATTCCACGCGGGTCCCACGTCGGACCCACCCTCATGTGAGGGTCGGTCACTCAGGTGGGCAACTCTTTTCTGGCAGGGGAGGTTAATCCTTTTTTTATTCTTGATATTATACCCGAGAACACAACTGGAACTTGCCGGTTATGGTATGTTTTGCCCACCCTGATAAATAAACCCTTGTTTCAATTAAAGTAAGTTTATTTATAGTCAGCGTCTGCAGTAATTATCTTAAATGACAGTTTGTTATTTGAGACAACATAATTACAAGAAATTAATGCCGTAAATAATAAATTATCATATAAGATGATTACTGCAGTCGCTAACTATGAATATCATTATTTAATTTATTTTTTTCAATCATAACAAAAACTAGAAACATTTCCTCTCTTTTTCCACCTTCGAACTATCAATTGTAGATCGAGTTGAAAAATCAAATAGTGGGGAACTTGGAATGGGAGCAGGTGGTAGAGGAAGGAAGGTAGTGGAGTAAAGAAGGGTACAAGAAGTCAAGATGTAACGTATAAGGGAGGAGAACGTGCAAAATGGTGACAAACGAGGATAGAGGACAGAATGGGGTTGCGTGAGGGATGTGAATGAGGGGTTTCATTTTTCAATAATGCTATCTAGTGCAAAGTAGTGTTAGAGTATTGATCTATGTAGTCGACCACACTTGATAATTTTAATTAGATGGATCATATGGCCTTATATTTAAATGAATATATTATTTAATGTTATGCAATTGTCATCTAGACTCGTGCTTAGCAATAGTGGGACTGAATAACATTACTCTAAATTTTTCCTTGACATTTTTTTATTTATATTTTTTTGAAATTATTTGTGCTTACCCTCTTACTTTGCAAACGTTTGACTTAAGGCTCGTTTGGTATGACTTTTGCTGTTATTTTTTTTTTTTGAAGAAAATTTGTATGAGAAAATTATCTTAATTTTTGTTTGTAAACTATTTTTAAAATAGCTTGTATTTTTAAAGGAAATCACATTTGATCAATTTTCTATAAAAACTCTTTAAGTTCTAAGTAGAAGAAATAATTTCTTAAAATTAGTCAAACGAGTCCAAAAGTAATTTTTGAATTTTAGAAACTCTTTTTAACTTCTCAAAAGTCATGTCAAACAAACCCTTAATATTAATTTGGTAAATTTGAAATAGTAGCAGATCTAAAAAATGCGTGTATAATAATGAGCAGTATTATAACTATGTAATTAAAATTAATGTTTGATATTAAATGAATTTATAATCCCTATTTATTTCNTGCGGTGGCGGTGGCAGGTCATGACCTCTCGCAACAGACTCCGACTCCGTATCTACCATGTTCCCTATCATGCATGTTTCGCTTCGTGTCCGTCTCCTTGACATAACTTTCTTGTTCAGTGGTTTCCCACAGATGGCGCCAATGAAATAATCACAAAATTTACCTCTATGATAATGATGATGTGTGGGGTGTTCTGGTTGCTTCGATCAACAAATGTTACCTGCAAAATGAGGTCGGGGCTTTTTTCCCCGTTGCCCCTCCGGCGTGAGAATCAGTAGTCGATTTGAGGGAGTAAGCAGAGAGTATATGAGCATTCAATAAGTTCGAGTTCCAAGAGACCTTTCTCACCTTGGAGGTATTTATAGGCACATGTTGCTGTGCGTGCGTTTGGCAGTTGCTGGTGCCACGTGTCCCACGTAAACCTTCCCACTTCCTCCACGTTCTAGAGTTGTGACCCTCACTCATCAAGCGGTTGATTATGCTCACGTTCGCTGTTGGGCGGTTTTTCTCCAACTTATTGTCATTTATTTGGCTAAGTATGATTTTGGTCGCATAGTGGTAGATGGCCATGTGTGAACGTAGAGGGCCCCATGAAAGTCGACGGCCACCTAGTGGTAGACGGCCTATGTGAGCGTAATGGGCCTCAGGGGGGTCGACGTCTTGGGGGTGCATATTAAGTAGCCGACCATCGTAGAGAATTGTCAACACCGTCTTATATCACCATGGATTCTCACTTACTAATGCAATGTTGTTTAGTAACATGTTAAGGGATACCTTCAACACATTTGTACGTCACTATTCACAATGATGTGCATGTAAATATAGGTAAATGCAATCTTTTTTGCCTGTGGTATTTGCAAATTATTCATTCTTTATTCCCTGCTTAGAAGAAAAAACAACAAGGGTCTGTTTAATAGAATGGAATTCCATGAAAAAGTCATATTTGAGGAAAAAGAATTCTATTTTGACCATTTGATTGCAACGTGAAAATGAAAATCGAATTCCAAAATACAACCACTTTAAGCTATATTTTCTTTGTTTTCATGGAAAACGAATTCATATGAATTTGGTGGGTTTTTATTTTCCAACTAACATGAAATTGGAATTCATTTCCACCTTTACCTATCAAACGGACCCTAAAACTTCGTTACTTTAGGACCTTGAAGATTAATTTCATCAGTGTAAAACTTACTCTTTCTTGATAGCTACAGATTCTGTAATCTAAGATGTTCAAATCATAATTGCTAATGTTTGACGTTTTATTGCATGCTAAATAATAAGAAGCCCATCCCAGTGTAGTCATAACAACTATTCACCGTAGCATGTTATTTACAAGAATTCAACACATTTAACACAATAACATTAACTAAAAATTAACGTGCATTGCACGGCAAACGATTAGTATCTGAAAAAGGATCTTCGTAACCAACAAAATAGTGATCGTTTAAAAATATAAATGAAGTTATCATCAACAATGAAAATCAATTATTTTAATATTGACATGACAAGAGAATATACCGAGGATTGATTAGATTAATCCTCGTCGATTTTGTACTTTGCGTTATTGTGGAAATTTTGTGTGTGAAGCTACCACACTAATGTAATTTAGTTTCAAACTTAGCCCTGTTTGAGTTCCCTTTTTTCTGAACATTCATTTTCAATCCCTTATTCTTTCGTAAAATAATTTGACATAAAAACTCAGAAAATAAATTCTATTTTTTTACCACACATTTATTAAAATTCAATATTTCAAAACGCATTTTCAAAAAAAAAAAGAAAAAGGACTCAAATAGAGACTTGGCCCCAGTTTGTTGTAGATTAAAATCAAATTTTTAGTAGATTTTGATAAAAATTGGTGAAATGTGTGATTGAAAATTTGTGATCCCCATAAAATGTGTAGTTAAAATTAATTGTTAACTTTGACTTGAAATTAAAATCAGATTTTAATAAAAAAAACAAACATGGGCTTAATATTAAGGGAAAAAATCATAACTCAGGTATATTGTTTACATCAATTCACAAGTCGGGTTCATAGTTTAAAATTTTAAAATTCATGTATATATTTAATTAATTAAATATATTTATTAATTAAATACAATAAAATCGGATTTATACAAATTATTGGTCACATATACATAATTATGGGTCACAATTTATTTATTGGTCACATATTATCAAATTAATTGATCACGGATTATTTAATGGTCACCGATCAAAAAATTTAAAGGTCACAGTTTATTCGTCGGTCATAGATTTTCAAATTAGTCGACCGTACATTATTTAATGGTCACAGACAAAAAAATTATAGGTCACAATTCTTCGGTCACAGATTTCCAAATTAAATGGTCACTGATTCTTCCACAGTCACATATAACCAAATAGTTGATGACAAATTAATCAAATAATTGACACTGACACCTCCATCGCACTGCCACCATCACCACCACCAACACAAAATAGCCACCACACAAACACCATCACCACCACCAACACAAAACAACTACCACACAAAAACCATCACCACCACCACACAGAAAATCGTCCAAACCCACCCCCAACCGCCATATCCACCACCAAAAAACCGCCACCACACAAACACCATCACCACTACCGCACAAAACACCATTCAAACCCACCCACCACAATGTTGCTTCTGCTTCGCCTCTTCATTACAACAGCACCACGGCGGCGTCGGCATGACGGAGTGGGTGGATTGCTTCTCCTCTTCATTATAGCAACTCACCTGAGTGGGTGGATCTGCATCGCGGTGGATCTACTTCACATCTTCATTACAGCAGCACCGTCTCTTCATTACAATAGCACCGACGACATGTGCTCCAAGCGGTGGCCTTGAAGGAGAAAATTTCAGATCGAGCTGATGCGCTTCTGCCTCGATCGTTGACTGCGATGGATTGTTGATTCGGGCGGTGGTCTTCGACGATGGGCAGTGGTCGAACGTAGGCGTTGGTCGACGGTGGGTAGAGAGAGAGAGAATGAGAGGGTGTGTGAAGA